ATATATATATATATATTAGGGAAATAGATACATGGTGTCTCTTAATTTTTTTTAAAATAAAATAAAAAATAATAAAGTGGATAATTATTAAAAGAGTATGAGAAGGTTAATAATCATGTGAAAAAATATTAAAAATATTTTAATTTTAAATAATACACTAATTTTTACTTTAATAAAAGTTTCTATTAACAAATTACTTAGTTTACAAATATATTTTCTCCCTCCTCAACATCTCATACTCTTTTATATCTACATACAAAAACGTGAAACAACCCATAATTGTTGCTTATATAAGTCACTTCTTTTTAAAAAAAAATTACTATCTTTCTTTAATTTGAAGCAACTCAAAATTACATGTGATATATTAATATAATATTTTTATTTTTAAGCAATCTATAAGTAATTCTCATTAAAAATACTCTTATATAGATGTTAATTATGTAAGCATATGTGAATTTTATATATATCGGCGGGAAAGGGATGTTCCCTTTTATTAAAAATAAATAAAAAAAATAAAATAAAATAAAATAAAAGAGTCAAAATATATTTAAAATTTACATCAAATCATTATAAAAATATATAAGATAAAATTTTGAATGCAAATTTTATAATATATATTATATAAGTTAATATATATATATATATATATATATATATATAAATATATAATATTATATATTACCATATAAATTGATATTATATAATATATTTTTATAAATTAGTATCTTATATTTATTATACATTTCTTGCTATAATGGAAATACTTTTTTATTATATATAATTTTTTGCTTTTTTTTATATCTTTTGCCTTTTAATTGTTTAAAAAAAATTAAAAAATTAAGATTTTTTTAATGTCGTTTGTCACACAATTAGTAATTTCCTTACGCTTTTTCAATAATTATCACTTTATTATTTTTTTCTTTTTTTTTTATAAATAAACTTAGATCACAATATAAATATTATAAACCTAAAATATAATTTATCTTAAAAGTAATTTATTACAATTTAATTATAAAAAAATATTTATCTTATAAATGATTACACAAACTAAAAATACTACTTATAAACAAAAATAAAGAAAACCCATACTACTATTGGGTGATGGCTATAACGGGAGACAATAGTTTAAGGAAGATCTCATTGTGGGGAATATATTTTTAGTTGCTAAATTATATATACTTAAGCTTATAGGCCAATTAGTCGGATAATAAGCTGTATATAATAAAATCATATAAATAGAATTTTAAGTTAGACTAAACTTTGGTAAAAAAGTATATATATCACAATTAAATAAATCAAACTTAAATTTTGTAATTTTAATGTAAATTAGACTGAAACTGACCAAAAAATACTAACTAGTTTGTCTTCACCCAGAAGCTTCTGATAATGTAGTTGTTTTCCAAACCTCTCAATCCAAAGAATGTGGTCCTTGATATCAAATCAGGCACACCTCACCCATTACTTCATTTATTAAGTCGGTAAGAATTAAGGTGAATTATGCAAAGTAGAATATTTCTTAGATTTGATATTTAGTGGCTTCACTAGTTCACATGTTATATGGTGACATTTTATACAATTTCTTATTAATTATAACTTTTTATTGGTGTAATTTTTTTTGATGTCTATCAACTTTTCGGATAAACAATATTTTATACAATTTTTTCTTAATTAGAACTTTTCACCGACTAAAATTTTTTATGTGTAGTTTATTTTTTGAGATGTTCGTATGATTTTAGGATCAACAACTCATCTTACAAATTAACACAAAATTTTTCAGCTTATTTTATTGTTACTTACACACTTTCTGAAAATCTTTTCAGAATGTCACCTATTCTTGAATTACTTTAAGTTAAATACACTTAATTGTAAAGTTTTTCGAAAAAATAAATACACATTATTGGTATAGATAGTATAAATTAATTTCTCTAAATCATCCTTAATTATACAATCTCATACTTGTACAATCTTTAAATTTCTCTCGGTATGTCTGGACTGTTACACAAAATAGTGAAAAATGAAATAAAAATTCTTGCAGAGGTTATTTTTAATTACTATATATTATTAAAAGAAATAAACTATCATCACATAATAAAAAAAATAATATTTAATTTCTGTCATTCATTTATTTTTAATAATATATTAACTATTAAAATAATCTCACAGGAAGATTTTTTATCCTAGCATTAATATGAAAATTAATTTTAACAAAATATTCTTCACGCACCATTGTTCCAGCTTATATGTAATCAAATTAAATATTTAAAAGTGACATACAAAACAATTTAATATTAATAAGATTAAAATTAAACCTTATTCAAATAACAAAAAGACTGCTTTAAAAATAAAAATGCAAACACGTCTTTTAAAATTTTATAAATATCAGGTTTCAAAAATACTTTCTTTCTGAGAAATTAAAACCCCTATTGTTTAAAATTTAGCAGAAAAATATATAATTTAAAAAAGAGAAAAACAGAGAATTGGTGTGCAGCCTAATTTTACCAAGCAGAAGCAAGATTGAAAAGCAGGGAAAAAGGGAAGTTAAAGAGAGAATGAGTTAGGTCCACGCGTTATTGAATTGAATGGAAGACACACACACGCACGCACGCACAAAGGGAAAATGAAGAGAGAGGCTGTGGTGTGAGCACTATAAATAGGTTTGAGTGGCAGGAGAGAGTACATAATATTTTGGAATCGTTTTGGTTTGAGCAACACAAAAGCTAACAACATGGGAAGCGAAGGCGCGAGGAAACCTAGAATCCTCTGCCTTCATGGGTTTCGAACCAGCGCTGAAATTCTCAAAACGCAGATTCATAAGTGGCCCCAATCCGTCCTAGACAACTTCGATCTCGTCTTCGTCGATGCCCCTTTTCCCTGCCAAGGCAAATCCGACGTCGAAGGAATTTTCGATCCCCCTTACTACGAGTGGTTTCAGTTCAACAAGGTTCTTTTTTCTTCCACCTCCAAATCCTTTGCCTTACCATCTTAACTATTATTCTTTCTTTTCATCTTCCTCGTTGATTAAAATGTGTAATGCCCCAAGGAGCATAAAACTCAACAATATTTTACATAAAATGACACTAACCAATAACAATACCAGCAAACTTCGAGTTAAACACTATTTTTTTTTTTTTTTTAAAGTTACTGGTATTTACATTTGTTGGGTGATGAACATGTTATTAGAATAAAATATTTGCTCACAAATTATATTATTAGGATGAAATATTAGTATATTACAGACTTAATTAATAATTAAATAATATTTATTAAAAGCTTGACCATTTCATCATTAATTCTAAGTGAGGTCTCTGGTGTTTAATTTCTTGTTCCCTTCATAAATCCCGATTGCTTGCTTAAAAGATTTTAATCAGTCTATACCAAAAATAAATTGAATTAGTTAGGTCATAAATATTTTCATTTTGAGATGAAATTTTTTATTTTTATTATATTATAAGAAACTTAAGCAGAATTACGTTATTATAATTTCGATAAATAAAAAAAATTAAGCAATTGGATGTGTGAGTATTTTCCATTCCTTTAATTAGGTGTTTTAACTGCAACCATCGTAAAACAGGAATTTACAGAGTACACTAACTTTGACGAGTGTCTCAAGTACATTGAGGAGTGCATGATCAAACACGGGCCTTTTGATGGGCTTCTTGGTTTTTCACAGGTAATCTTCTGTTCAATTTTGTTTTCTTTTGGGAAAATAATCAAGTTACAGATGCATGATGCATGATGCATGATGCATGATGCATGATGCATGTTTATATAATTTGAACGGTGTTAAGGAATTTAATGACGCGGTGTTTGATTTTGAGGAAATAGGGTGCGATATTATCAGCTGCGCTGCCCGGTCTTCAGGAGAAGGTATGTGCCAAACTAAACTAAACTACAGACTCCCTTCATTTTTAATTCTCTTTTATATATTGACTTTGCTAACAATTAAATATATTTTTCACTGACGTAATAAAAAAAATATTATTATAAAATTGTAAAAATAAATTTAATGAATAGTGTACAATGTTACAATTATTTTATGTCTAAATATTTTTTTATCAATCAAAATTCAACTCAGTACCATAAGATTTACCATAACATATCCATCTTTTTTAATCAACCCTTTGTTCATGGCTTATACTATGATTTTTTTTATTATCCCGGATATCTTTCAATTTATTGGAACAGAGATTAATCTTTTCGGTATTGTGATTATTGTTCATCTAAAGTATTCTCGCATATCATCATACTAAAATGAAAATAAAAATAAGTTAAAATATTTTTTTAATTTCTATAATTTTACTTATTTTATCTTTTAATTTTTATAATTTAAAATAATTTTTTATTTCTTATATTTATCTATTTCAATCTTTTACAGTTTATATAATTTAAGATGATTTTTTTGTCCTTAAATTTGTAATTTTTAATTATTTTAATTTTTATTATTAATTTTTTTTAATGTTCTCTTTTATTTTTGACGTAACAAAGTATTAATTTAACTTTATGCATCTTTATATATATATATATTACTAAAATTACTTTATATTAAATCTCTTGATGTTTCGTGTCTCAATTATAATTATTTTTAGTTAACTTTATTTTTTTAAATTGAAGACCTTTATCATATTAATACAAAATAAATAATATTACAAAAGATTTAAAAATTATAATTATATAAATTAAATATCAATCTTAAATTATAGGATTAAAAAAATTAAAAAAATAACATAAGAATTAATAAATTATGTTTTAAGCTATGGAGACGATAAAATAAGTAAAATTATATGAATTTAAAAATATTTTAATAATAAAAAAGCATATTGTAAGCTGTTATGTTATGTTGGGAGTTTTATAAAGAAATGGAATAAAAAAGGGAATTTATTTATATGCAGGGCATGGCACTGACAAAGGTTCCGAAGGTGAAATTCATTATAATAGTAGGAGGGGCAAAGTTTAGGTCAGCTTCGGTAGCCGACAAAGCATATTCTTCTCCTATTGCCTGTCCCTCCCTTCACTTTCTAGGTACCTCCGTCACCATATTTTGTTTTATCTTTTTTTTTTTTTTTTTTTTTTTTTTTTTTTTTTTTTTTTTT